ACTTGACTTAAGATCTATGAACTTAAATAGCTTACGCCTCTCGATCTGGTAAACTTCCTCTAATTTCTGCATGGAAGCGCGATAAAGAATTTCATTCACTGTGTCCGAATGACACTTCCTCATTAGATTACAGAAACGGGGAGCGTTCAAGGTCCGCATCTATGAGCAAATATTTGATCTGCATATGAGCTTACCACTCTAACCTTAGCCAGCAATGGACGAGTTAGAATAGAATTGCAAAACATCAGATCAGCAGCCAACACTAGTTATGCGATATTTGAAAGACGATTTCGCAATCTGATAGCCTAAAAAAAAGAAAATTTAGACGATTATCTCATCTTGATAAATGAAATGGATGAAAAAGTTAAATTTGCCATGGATGTGGAAGAGAACGGACAATTATCTTTCTTGGATGCAGAGGTCATTCGCTTTGAGGAGACTCTCAAGACTTTTGCGTAAAAAATCGCATGCTGAAATAACTTTTAGCTTACAATCTAAACATACTTATGGAATGAAGATTAGAATAATCCGGAGTATGGTCATAAAGAGTCAACGATTTACAGCATAAACTGCAAAGACTGTGCATAATAATATATCGGAGAGACGAGAGTGACAATCAACACAGGGCTCAAAGAACAACAGTGATGATGCAGAAAAATGGATACGGGAAGATCGGATTTAGGTGAGCGCTTCGCCATTACCGGCCATACAATTGACCGGAATGCAACGGGAATGCTAACCTCATATGGAGAGAACACCAGAAAACGGAAGATCAGGGAGGCTGTGGACATCATCTTTCAAAGAAACCTAATGAATAGGAGATTAAAAAAGGCAAGAGTCAGCGATACTTTCGCGTACTGCCTGAGAAGACATAAAAAAAAGACGCTTGAACCCAGGACAACTGTTCAACAAGATGAAGAAACAGCGTCAAGGTGCGGCGCATGATAGACAAAGGGAAGTCAAGAAAAAAAAACGATTGCAGGAGTCAAACCTGCAATCGGTATAAAAGTTACCCAGGGGGTCCACTTGTGGGATAGAAAATTAAAAGCTAAACGTATAAGTAAGCCAAATAAGCCACCAATGTGTGTGTAAATGTGCTTATGTGCACTTTTCATGTGCGTGCCTTAAGGCGACTGGTAATAGGCATGGCCACGAGGGATACACACTTTGACATCCTATAGCCCAAGAATTCGATGAGAATACCATCTTGAAGGACGAGATGAATGTGCTGTTCGCAATTCAAAGGTAAAAAGGGAAGCAGTGCATTTTCACACCAGTAGTTATGACTTAAGCCGGACACAATGTCCTAAAGAATGAGACATATGGATGGGGATGAGAAAGAGGATAACTAAATCATGGGTTTGAAGCTTAGAAAGAGGAAGATTCCCGAGCATTGGCATGAACATGGACATCGTCTGCTCCAAATTCTTGGACGTAATCGGGAACAGGAATCGAAGGCTTTTAGGCAGCCATATTTCAGTCAGTCCTTTCGATGTTCAACACCGACCAATTGGCAAACTGGGTAGGAGATGGAGTACGAATGAAAGTACCCTGCACACGGCACCTGGTACCGGTGGTTGAGATGATTACGCTTCACTAAACCCACAAATAGTGATGCACTCTTAGGAGACATTGGACAAAACGAGAGAATATAGTTGTGAATAAGTACATCGGCCATATAAAGTAGGGTCGAGAGAAAGATGCAGCACTAAAAGGTAGAACAAAAAATAAGGGCGAGGAGTGATGTCACAATGGTTGAACAGAAAATTTGTCAAGGAGATTGCCTTTACTTGTTATTTTGATAAGTTGTAACTCTATATTGATGATGATACCTCTTTACTGACGATGCAAGCGAAACGTTTGAAAACGTACCAAGTCAATGATTCGATGCTGGAAATCACGAATACTAAGGCAAAGAACGGTGGACTATGTAAGTTCCACAAGGTTTCCATGACGCTCCGACCAAGTTGCAAAAACGAGGTAAAACCAACATAATAAATCATTTAGCTTGATATGACACAATAATAATGAGATGACTTTATCCTATTTGGTATAAGATGATGAATCACTAGTATTTGAATTTTCCCACAATGAGTAAAGCTGATGCTTCTATTAAATTTCACAGCCTTGCTTTCCCAAAAGTTGTTCTCATCTCGAGTTGACTAGAGTTTCGACCTAGAATAGGTCTTATCAACATGCAGAGGGTTTGGAACTATGATACCATACCATGCAATCTCTATACGTTAGCCATTATGCCATATTGTTACTAATGCGCTTGGGTAACAGGGCAGATGTGAAGGAAGGTCAGGCACTTTCCCATATTACATTCTTTGATGAGAATGTAGTGGATTTTATAGCAAATATAACTTTGCTACATCGATAATTCCACCAAAGAATGTGATATGAGAAAATGCCTGTCCATCTGTGAAATTTACATCTACCCTGTGACTGTGTAGTCTCATTCTCCTTTGATTGTATAAAAGTTGTTTGACCTTGTTTTCGAAACTTGTTCACATTGGTTGGAAGATGTAGTCCGGAGTCCATTGTATGCATGATTATTTCCCAAGTTGGACCATAGACGTGGTACTTTCCCAGACGTTTCGCCGGCATCGTCAATGAGTCTCGCCATCCGTGGCACCATAGTATAGCTTGTCAAAGAGACAAGTGAAGCCAATCATTTGACCAAACGTGTTCTAAACAGTTGTGGTATATCCTCTTATGCCATGGGCTATTCACATTTCCTATATCCTCCTATCAAGCCTTCCCTGTCAATTTTTACCGTGAATATTTTGATATAGTGTTGTCTGCTCTATCGAGCGACATTCATGAAAACCCTTCACACTCCAAACTATCATTCTCACCTCCTTCAACCTTGTGCTGGTAATGTTGAAAAGAGTCTGTCATATTGTTACTTAGTCCTTGCCTGGATCCTATCAGTCTTGATCTTGCCCCGTAGAATCCGTCTGCTATCTCCCTGGAACACGTATTTCACTCGACCCCTGTATCCCCACCTGTGCTATTCGAGGCTAAAGCCTCTTAGTAAGTCTCATGGTCATGCCTTTTCTACATGGACCACATCTCCTGTAAAACCTACTGTCAACCAACTAGCTACAATCGCCGCCTCGTCTATCCTGTCTCTATCCTTAATACCAAGTCTATGACTTGCAATGCCCTAGTCTCTTGTGTTCTAACCCACAAATGTTGTGGTACTGCTTGCTTTGATTAGGCTCACTGAAGACGTATCGTCTTGGCTTCTGATTGTTCGTTTCTCGTCCCCCTGCGATCTCTTTTCCAAAAATTAAGTATATTATATTGATCCAGTCGTCTTCTTTTTGCTGATCTTTCTGTTGCCTGGTCTTCTCCGAGTTTGTTTAGGCAATATGCAAAGTTTTCGCTGATCCTGCATACTTCAAGTCTCCTGTTCATTTGATTTCTATCGGTCAATATTTCGATGGCCTCTCGGAGTTTGCGTATACTCAAATTTTCACCATATGAAACCAACCTTTCGGTCGATTTCATGCCCCGTTCGTGCAATGTGTTCCGCTATTTCGCATCTTTCCGTATCCATGTTTTTCTTCAGTCTTTGATGTTCCTTAATTCGTAGGCCGATTTTTCTTCCTCTTTCACCGATATATTTCTGTTCACAGTCGCCGCATTTGATGCGATAAACTCCCGAACAAGCAAATATGTCCATCTTCTCGTGTTGTGTCGGCAGACTGGCGAAAAGTGTTTTATTCTTCTTTTTTATCACCTTGATATGCTATTTTCCTAATAAAGGTCGCAATTGTTGACTCAGTTCTGATGAGAGCAAGCAAATCCACTTTTGGTTGTTATCCTCATTCCTGATCAGATTTCCATAAAATCCGAGTTGAAATCTGCCCTTTATAACCACTACATTTTTCTCAATAAATTCTCTTGGGTATTCATTACTTAGATAAATCCGTGTCAGTTTGTCCAATTCCTCATCCCAAAACTCTTTGTCTGTTAGTCGTAAGCTTCTGATGATCAAACTCAGTAATCCTATCTTCAGTGTGTAGTTATGATGAGACTGGAAATTAAGGATTATTCCAGCATACGAACTCTTTCTGTATAGTTTCCTCATGTGTTTTCCTCTGGAGCGTTGCTCATAATGGCACAAAATTCCACATTTAAATAAGCAAGTTAAAATTGTGATAGGGAAGGCGTGATGTGAGGATATAGGATTGGTGATTAGCCCAAGGGAAAGGAGAGATACCACAATTGTTTAGCAGACGATTGGTCAAAGGATCGGCTTGACTTGTCTCTTTGACGAGTTGTGGTGTGGTAGTAAGACTGGCAAGACGTACTGACGATGTCGGCGAAACGTCTAGGAATGTACCGCGTCTACGATCCGATACTGAAAATTATCATGCATACATAGAACTCTGGGCTGTATACGTTTATCTAAGTCTTCCTTAATATGAGCAACCTTTTCACGTACTTTTATATATTACCAAGTTCCTTTGAATGACTAGTGGTAAACACGTGGGTAATGTAAAGCACTCTGTAATCTTTCATTTCGTTGCCCGAAAACTAAGATATATATTCCCCAGGCCTTCATTTAACATAAGATAATACCTAGGCGTTGTTTTTCTAGAGGGCGTAGAGTTTG